AATTCCTTAAATCACACAACTAGAAGGGTCTCAATGTTTTGTTTGAAAATTCCTTTTCTTTTTGATTATAGAAGTGATATAAACTCATTCTAGAAAATTTGGAAAAAACAGAATATTTAAAAGAAAATTTTAAAGCACCCATAAGCCACCCGCTCAGAGTTACCCTGTTAACATCTGTGTGCTTGTCCTTCCAACTTTTGATTTTTGCACCTGCGTCTGAGATCTCTCCTGCTCTCCTACTGGTTTTCTGAAAGGCATTAAAAGTTCTTAAAGTGCTTTTCGAACGTTTCCCCTAGTCAGTGGAAGCATCACCCAGAGAATTCATATATAATTTGAAATGCAACAAATTCCCATCAGGAGAACATTTATACTGGCCAGAGCACCCCAGCAACCTTCCCCGGAGGAGCGCTGCCCCTAAAACTCGACAACAGGATCCCAGTGACTCAAGGATCAGACCCCTCCCAGCTTGTGCCTCTGTCACTTGCTATGATTTCTTTTACGTTAAATTTCAACACTAGGCTGTTTTACACCTTAGCTTGTTTCATGTCAATTGATCAACTTTCTAAAAGAGAGAGGAAAAAAAGAAAGAGAGGGATGAGAAACAGCTGGCTTTGTCACATTTACTTTAAGACCCACATTTACTTTAAGCCAAAATCCCGTAAAGCAACTCATGAAGGAAATCATAGGGATGCTCGGCGTTGCTCCTCCCGTCCCCTTGCCCCTTGTCCAGCACTCCAAAGGCGGCAGGGAGTTCCTCCGCATTCCCTCTGGTCAAGCCACCCGCACGACCAAGCACAAGGAGCAGCACGTGTGGAGGGTGGGTCTGACCATGTGACCGCTGCGCATGCGTGGCCTGGGAAGGGGGCGGGGCGGGCGGGTGGCCAGCGGCCAGTTTCTGAGTCGCCGAGGGGGCGAGAAGTCGGTAGTGTCAAAGGCTGCGCAGGATCCCAGGGAGACATGTCCACTTTCCCGAGTGCAGCTGCTCAGCAGCTCAGAATGCTCTTGCAAATGCAATTCAGATCCGCTCTCAAATCCACACCGGGGATTCCAGGCACGAAAGGAACGTTAAGAACCATCGTTAAAGTCCCCTTCTATATTTCCCTTACGTGCATTTGCATTCCTGCTGAGAGGTGCTGAGCCTCGCTCACTGCTCAGACCTGGGAGGCCCCCCTCTCCCTCATGCAAGGCTCCCCGCGATTGCTCCAGACTGCAG